TACTGATATACACCTGAACATCAGCAGGAGAGGACTCTTTAAAGTAGAGACACTACATACTGATATACACCTGAACATCAGCAGGAGAGGACTCTTTAAAGTAGAGACACTACATACTGATATACACCTGAACATCAGCAGGAGAGGACTCTTTAAAGTAGAGACACTACATACTGATATACACCTGAACATCAGCAGGAGAGGACTCTTTAAAGTAGAGACACTACATACTGATATACACCTGATCATCAGCAGGAAGGACTCTTTAAAGTAGAGACACTACATACTGATATACACCTGAACATCAGCAGGAGAGGACTCTTTAAAGTAGAGACACTACATACTGATATACACCTGAACATCAGCAGGAGAGGACTCTTTAAAGTAGAGACACTACATACTGATATACACCTGAACACCAGCAGGAGAGGACTCTTTAAAGTAGAGACACTATATACTGATATACACCTGAACATCAGCAGGAGAGGACTCTTTAAAGTAGAGACACTACATACTGATATCCACCTGAACATCAGCAGGAGAGGACTCTTTAAAGTAGAGACACTACATACTGATATACACCTGAACATCAGCAGGAGAGGACTCTTTAAAGTAGAGACACTACATACTGATATACACCTGAACATCAGCAGGAGAGGACTCTTTAAAGTAGAGACACTGGAGAGTAACCATAACAACACGAGCTGATGCTAATTTAATTCCTTAAAGAGGAGGAATGTGCTTCTGTAATTGGTTGAATTTATCCAGACTAACTTGTTGTTATTAGTTTAAAACTCTGCTTATCTTCAGTGCGCTTTTATTTTGAAATCGTATTTTCTTTCACTGTGGATCGGAGCGTTTTAATCTATCAAACTTTATTTTGAAAGCAACTTTTTTTTATTCACAATAACGCAAACACAAAATACTTTGAGGTTCCTGTACTTAACTTTCACATTACGCTTATATTCACACGTTTGTTTTGATGTTCAGCTTCAGTGCGCTTTTATTTTGAAATCACATTTATTTAAGGATTGGAGCAAAACACTCAAAACAGCCAACAGAAGGTGCTTCACAAACAAACAATAACAACCCTCCCTCCAGTCCATAGAAAGAGTAAACGGTGAAGTGCATTTCCCTCTTTTGGTACTTGGTTAGATCTGAGTTCCACATCTGCACACATATGGAGGGGGTGGACACACACACACACACACACACACACACACACACTCACTCTGGATAAAGCCCTCTTTGAGCTGCAGGCCTGTGAGGGCGTAGAGAGACGTCACAGAGACTTCTTTCTTTGAGAGGTTTACTGCAGACGGAGCGTTTCGGTATTCTCACACTCAGGTAGACGCTCGACCTCAAAGAGCTTATTGTGATTCCGAGTCGTGTTTACAGCAGAAAGCAGAACTTATACACGGACGTTCACGCATTTACAGACGGACAGATATCTTCAAAAACATCAGATCTTTCAAGCAGAAATGTCCCAAATCTGGAGATCTGCTGCTTCTCTCTCTGTTTGCATCTTATTCAAGTTAATATCTTTACTTTGAGACAAAACAAGACATTTTAAGACTGGGATGAATGTTTTTCACTATTTTCTGACATTTGATAAATCAAAACATCCATTCATCTGGGAAATGTGTTAGTTGCACCCCGACAAATATGATGTTTATAATAACAGCTGATTAGGCGATTAATTCATTTTTAACCTTTCAGTTATTTTCCATGTCAAATGTTTCCAGTTAACTCAAACGTGTTGGAGTTTTAAAACTTTCTTGATTATATTGCCATCCTTTTTAATTAAATAACATCTGGACGTCTTAAGGTCTACACTCAGTTCTTTATGGGTTAACCTGGAGCTTATTTTCTACATTAATTGATGTTTTTGTGCATAAAATGTCCCGAAATATTACAAAATGTCTTTAGTTCCTCCAAACCCAAAAGATAATCACGTTATTATAAAATACAACGTGTACAAATCGCATTTAAATAGACTTCTGCTTTAAACATTACTTTAACTCTTAATTAATTAAAAAATATGTTTCCATCGAGACAAACACTTCAATTAATCAATGTTTATTTATATAGCCCAATATCACAAATGTTACATTTGTCTCAGTGGACTTTACAGTTTGTACAAAATATCAGTATGACAATACGACACCCTCTGTCCTTAGACCCTCTGTCCTTAGACCCTCTGTCCTTTGACCCTCTGTCCTTTGACCCTCTGTCCTTAGACCCTCTGTCCTTAGACCCTCTGTCCTTAGACCCTCACATCGTACAAGGAAAAACTTCCAGAGAAAACCCACAGTTTAAAGGGAACATGGGAGAAACCTCAGGGAGAGCAACAGAGGAGGGATCCCTCTCCCAGGACGGACAGACGTGCAATAGATGCCGTGTGTAAATTGAAAAGATAATACATTTGCAACACTTGTCAAAAGACCAGAAATCCCAACATTTAGTCATGTCCTTCTGACTTAAAGGTGGGGTAGGTCATTCACTTCAGAAACACTTGTTATATTCCATGGAATGCTCTTAACGTCCCGATAGCAATGAATACATGAAATGCTTTGACAATAAATCCATAAAAACGTCACAATGGAACCGTAGTGCTGTAAAAAGCTCGACCAATCATCTGAGCCGGCTAAAGTAACTGGATGGCCTACCTGCCTGTCAGCCTTCCATCTGGGCACAAACTCACCTCGTGCCCTCATTGGTCATGTGCGCGTTCGTGTGTGTTGGAGGAGGGGCTCTGTGAGGAAGTGGCAGATTTTCTCCGGTTGTGTATTTTCAAATTCTAGCGCACTCGAAATGACCTACCCCACCTATCAGAAATACTTAATCACAGGGGGAACTGCGACGGTTGCTCTACAGGTTGAATAGAATAAAGAAGTAATAATCTGCAGTAAAGGATCAAAACAAAGTGTATAAACATGACAGACTTTGTAATGCGTGCTCGTGAGTCTAAAAAGGTGTTCACACTTTGTCTTCAGTGATACTTCCTCTGTCTGGGTTTTCTGACAAACTTCCCCTAATGGTGCCTAGTGTCAGACTGGTCATTAGTGTGAGTCCCTGAAGGCATCATCTGTGTGAACTGGAGCTAATTTGATCCTGATGTTGTGACAGTGAAGTAAACACGGAGCAGAGCGACTGGACTTTCAGGTTTCTGCTCTCTGACGCTTCAGGCAACACAAACACGTGCGTGTGTGTCTGCGTGCGTGCGTGTGTTTGTGTTTTGGGGGAAATCCTGATGAGTCATGGTTAACGTCACGCAGGTGTTTCACTCGATTCATTTTTCGTTTTCTCCTCCAGGGCGGTGGGCTGCAGAAGTGGAAACCATTAACTCTGGCTCCTGAACCACAGAGGTACACACACACACACACACACACACACACACACACACACACACACAGCGCTCTGGTTCGCCACCTTCTGAAACTAAAATGTGAGGCTTTTCTCAGTTTTATATGATCATGAAGTGAGTATTTATGGGTGTTGGATCATAGCAGATAACAAATCCGGAGACGCCCTCGAGGATATTTAGAGTTTTTCTGATGTTTTATTATGAAGGGAATATGTGTGGGTTTTAGATTGTCAGATAAATGAAGACACTTAATTTTAAGCTCTGGGACATTTTGACTCTTCTTTCTCACAGTTCTCTGATGTTTTAGCGAATCATGTGTGAAATCAATAAAACGCTCCGTGGGATTTATAGTCTTTCGGCCTTTTCTGCCTAGTTGCTCTTGTTTGATATTTTTATGAAGTGAATACTTGGATTTCAGAATATGTGTCAAATAAATAGACATCGTCATGGGCTCTAGGATATTTTGACTTGTGATTCCTCACCGTTTTATTAGGGCTGCTCGATTATGGCAAAAATCATAATCTCGATTATTTGGGTCAATAATTGATATCACGATTATTAAAAACTATTATCCATTCACTTTGAAAACATCAATTTATTGAGGAAGAAAAAAGTGAACAGTATGTTTTTAACAGTTGATTACCCTGAACTTTAAGTAGAATTCAACTAAAATTATTTATAAAAATAATCGTTTTTTTCGATTGTGTTTTCATAATCGTTGCAAGCCAAAATCGTGATTACGATGAATTGAGCAGCCCTATGTTTTATGGAGCAAATCATGCGGGACTCCTAGCCTCTTGCAGCGTTTTTTGGGTCTACTTGAGAGGAGATGTTTACGTCCCTCTGGATTCCCCAGTAAAAGGTTTTGACTAGTGATTCCTCACAGTTTTCTAATCTTTTAGACTGAACCATAAAATCGCTTAAATAAATGTGGGACTCCCAGCCTCTTGCGTCTTTCTGTGCCCGTCAGTATTCATGATATTCAGAGTTGTACGCAGGCGGAGGAGATGTTCACGTCGCTCTGGATTCCTCTCAGTCTCTATCATAAGCAGATATCTCAGCGCGGCACAGAGCGGCTCTGTTTCCTGCAGACGTACAGTAAGCGTCTGTACGGCGGGAACACTGCTGCTCTCATGCAAAGGGCAGGAAGACGGATTAAATATTCACCGGCTCGCTCACAGAACAACGCACAACAATAACCATCTTTACCCAGTGGATAAAGGGCTTTCAGTTCTTAGGGAAGCTGCTACTAACAATTAACTCATTATAGATGTATCCTGTGGGCTATAAAATAAAGAGATTATTAATATGTGTGTTAGAAATTCAAATACACACTTCATAGAGGTCAGCTTGAATATAACTGATTAATACGTTTGTTTTTTGTCCTTTTTCGTGAAGAAGTAGTATTGTGTACTTTTAAAAGTATTATTTCCTGTGAGCCCAGTCTGCTCTGATTGGTTAGCTGGCCGGCTCTGTTGTGATTGGTCAACAGCGTCGAGATGTCCCCTTAGCCTATACAATGTGTTGGAGCCAATAAGAGCACAAGTGTTTCATAGTGATGTCACCATGTTCTGGAAGTAAACAAAGGAGTCGCCAAAACCTATAGGAACACCCCCATAGAGCATAATAGGGTTTCTTTAACAAACGCAAAATATATGTATATATCATTAAAATGATTTGCTTGTTGTTTTGCAGGAAGGTGGTGGTGCTGGAGAAGAAGGAGGAGGAGGCGTTTGGCTTTGAAATCCAGGTGAGAGGATTAGCATCTGTGTTTTATCAGAGGGGGGGGGGGGGGGGGGGCCTCTGGAGTGCTTTTAACAGGATTTCTGTGATAAACTCAAGCGTCTCATCCTGAAATCCTTTAATCCGACCGTGCGTTGGGGGTCAGAGGTCACGTAGTCTCATGACTCCAGAGGAAACTCTCTGTTTCTCTCCAGGCGGTTTTTTATTTTCAGCCGCGTGGTTTTCTCACGTGTTAACCTGCAGACCATTCACAGTCTGACCGCGAAATCTCCCGATCTGTCGCCCTGCAGCGAACGCACCGTTCTTTAAATAGTAGATGTTCAGATTTATATCAGTATGTAGTGTCTCTACTTTAAAGAGTCCTCTCCTGCTGATGTTCAGGTGTACATCAGTATGTAGTGTCTCTACTTTAAAGAGTCCTCTCCTGCTGATGTTCAGGTGTACATCAGTATGTAGTGTCTCTACTTTAAAGAGTCCTCTCCTGCTGATGTTCAGGTGTATATCAGTATGTAGTGTCTCTACTTTAAAGAGTCCTCTCCTGCTGATGTTCAGATGTATATCAGTATGTAGTGTCTCTACTTTAAAGAGTCCTCTCCTGCTGACGTTCAGGTGTATATCAGTATGTAGTGTCTCTACTTTAAAGAGTCCTCTCCTGCTGATGGTCAGGTAAGAGCAGCACTGATGTAGATTGTAGGAATACTTTTTGCACAATAACTCAGTTTTGAAACTCTGATTACAAACTGAATCATGAGAGGAAGTGGTGCAGATCATATCAGCGGACATGAGGAGGCAAAACATGCAAAGTCTTCCTCTTTTCAAACAGACATAAACACACACACTATGCGCTCTAAAGTACCTGGACAGTGTGTGTGTGTGTCTGTGTGTGTGTCCCTCATTGCACTCTCACCTCTTATCAGTTATATTGGACTCTCTCCAGTCAGCAGTCCTCACTTCTCTCCTTTCCTCGGTCAGACAACGATAACCTGATTTCTTTGGACTGTATTTGTGTACATAATATTTAGTTATCTTGGAAACTGTTTACTTCCACATGAGTTTGCACGCTCTTCCTTCTTTCAGTCACCAGAGTGTATCTACAGAACACCCACACACACCCACACACACCGTATCACAACCTCACACGTTTCCTTTTCTGACTTCATCTCTGAAGCTGAGGGCCTTTCCCTCCCACACAGCTCCCACACAGCTCACACACAGCTCACACACAGCTCACACACAGCTCACACACAGCTCACACACGGCTCCCACACGGCTCACACACGGCTCACACACGGCTCGCACACAGCTCACACACAGCTCACACACAGCTCACACACAGCTCGCAAACAGCTCCCACACAGCTCCCACACAGCTCACACACAGCTCACACACAGCTCACACACAGCTCACACACAGCTCACACACAGGCCACACACGGCCCACACTCGGCTCACACTCGGCTCACACACGGCTCACACACGGCTCGCACACGGCTCGCACACGGCTCGCACACGGCTCGCACACGGCTCGCACACGGCTCGCACACGGCTCGCACACGGCTCGCACACGGCTCGCACACGGCTCGCACACGGCTCGCACACGGCTCGCACACGGCTCGCACACGGCTCGCACACAGCTCGCACACGGCTCACACACGGCTCACACACGGCTCACACACAGCTCACACACAGCTCGCACACAGCTCGCACACAGCTCACACACGGCTCACACACAGCTCACACACAGGCTCACACACAGCTCACACACAGCTCACACACAGCTCACACACAGCTCAAAGTATCACACGCTGAAGTGTTGTCACTAAAACTCAGATCCATGTTTGACTGTTTGGAAACATTTGCAAAGATTCAGAGCACTTCCTGCTCGGCCGCTTGCAAGATAAACTTATAACCCACGCAAATATAGCCGACAGGCAAATATCCTTTTTTTGCATACTGGACCCTGAACTCAGCACCAGAGACTGGAGACGCTCAGAGTGACATCACTTCCTGTAGGAAGGGCGGGAACATCCAATCAGAAATAGAAACAAAGCAGCCTTTCCTCCCAGAAGCAAATTCATAATAGGAAGAAAGAAGAAGTGCTCGGATCTCCAAGTAAAAATGGCAAAAATAAAGTTTAAAAAAAACCCTCATTAAAGTAGAAGTCCTGCATTCAAAATATTGGCATCTTCGATAATAATAATGTCTTCTTTAAGTTGTTTTAGGGGGACTTCACAGCATCTGTCAAGGTGCTGCGGTACAGAAATAGTCTCTCAATGTACTTATAGACTCTTCTTGCAATATCTCTATTTTATTTGTATTTACCTGCACTGTTTTATTTGTTATATGTTGCTCTGTTGGAGGAGCCTGTGACTTCAGTTTTTCATCGACATATCTACGCTGTGGCTGCTGTACTAATAACAAAGCCTTGGAGCTTGAATAGTCAAAAGGGAGGCTGTGGCTCAGTGGGGCAGTGTGTGGGTAAAAGCGTCTAACAGGTGACATGTGATGTAATGTGTTAATAGATGTTGGATAAGTTGACAGCACGGTCCCTGTGAAGTGAAATGAAATGTTGCAGCAGAAGAAAGCCTTAGTAAAGAGTGCGTGTTGTCTCTCCTCAGACGTACGGGCTGCACCATGAGGACCAGAACTCGGTGGAGATGTGCACGTTTGTGTGCAAAGTGCACGAGGACAGCCCGGCGCAGGAGGCGGGACTTAAAGTCGGTGAGTTTCTGTGATGAAAGCCTAAAATAACCTGAACTGTGTGTGCGTGTGCGTGGTGTGTAAATACGCCCTCTCATTTTCCAGTCAACAAGCGACTCAGTGTGTGTGTGCGTGTGTATTTCCAGACGACACCTCTCTGACACCTCCTCTCACCAAAGTGCCTAAAACAGAAGAGCAAACACAACCGCTCGGTTTTAGAGGAAGTTATATTTTTATTTGGAAAACGTCACTCGTCTGTTTTGGAAAATGTGACGGCCAGGTTTTAAAAAGAGGAAATATTTCACAAGTTCCTTCACCTGTTTAGATCCGTTCTTCTTTTGATTGTGTCTAGTGTATCGGTGTGACCGATACAATGGAGCGCTTACTGAGGCATGACATTCACTGTCTGCCCGACGGGGTTTTATATTATCAAACATAGCATTTGAACACGTAATGCTTCGTACACACACTCAAAAGACTCAGTCACTAAGTAAAGCACTAAGTCTAATTTTAAGGTTCTTGTACTTTGCTTAAGTCCTTTTGATATAGTGTTACTTCTGCTCCACCGCAGCTCATCTGTTGATATGAAGTACTTATAGATTATTTCTTCCACGCACTCGAGAGGGATTGTGAATATCCTCACATGCTTTTACTAATTGTAATCGCTCTCCAACTTGCTGTCATTGAAGTGAAGAAATGATCCCACTCAAACCAAAACTATCCTGTAAAATAAGAACAAACCTGCATCAGGTTTAGTCAGCAGTGGCGGCGCTGGGGTATGGCTGGGGTAGGCTACAGCCATACCAAGAAATGGCTTAGCCCTACCTTAGCCTGACCATGTTAAAGTATGTTAAAGTGAGCATGTTGAGAACACGGATTGCGAAAATCTACCGGTCGTGTCCATAACACACAAACTGATCCTGCTTTAACAACAAGTGCACGTTACTGATATGGTTGAGACCATTCGGGCTTATGCTAGAGGGGTGCAAGGAATAGTCTAAGTAGTGGGGGAGTTTTATACACTAAAGGTGTGGAAATCAGCGCGGCCGCGGTCAGATCAAAATGCCTCCGAATGCAATTTGAATAGACCTACAGCCAATCAGAGCAGAGGGTCTGCTGCGTCATGCATTACTGATTCATCACGTTCACAGTGAAAAGTCCCCAAACTCGCGCCGAGTAAATTGCAGACAGACAGCAGAACTTCTAGGATTAATTGTATATTTCGGATGGATAGATTTGTTCTTAAACGCCCTCGCATTGAGGTACAAGTCGAACAGGTGCCAGAGTCACACGACCCACCTGAAGAGTGCATAGTGAGTTTTGAATATATTTTGTAATAGTAATTTGAAAAAGTGTTTTGTATGAAAATAGAGACACAGGCCACCTGTTGTGTGCTGTGTCTGTCTCTCTCTGTTTACCTGTGTCTCTGTCAGTCTCTCTCTCTCTCTCTCTCTCTCTCTCTCTCTCTCTCTCTCTCTCTCTCTCTCTCTCTCTCTCTCTCTCTCTCTCTCTCTCGCTGTGTCAATTATATATGCTGCCAACTGTTCTTGTTTCTGCCGCTGCGTAGCATGTTGTAACAACGTGGAATTAGCAGAATAGGCTATTGTATTGTTTAACTCACACCTGTTGCTCTCGATGTAATTTAGCTGATAAAAGGAGACCAATAAAAGCTAATAAAAGCCTCACGCTTGGCGTTTCACTGTCAAGGTGCGATATAGCGTGTATGTAATTACATTACATATACTGACTTGAGCCCCACCACTGTATGGGTTAGCCCTACCATAGGTTACCCAACACAAATACTCTGGCGCCGCCACTGGCAGTGGGACAAAGTATCTGGGATGCACCCCCAACAAAGTATGCTTTTAGAGTCTCTTTAAGAGTTTTAAGCTTGTTTTGATTATTATCCGGACGCAATGGTGCAATAATGTTAAGGATGATTGATTCTGTCCCCTGCTTAGTGATGGGTGCACAAAGTGGCTTTAAACAACGTTAAAATAGCTAAAAACTTCCCTATTTCTTGATGTGCGGACATGATCAAAAGGCAGCATCTTAAAATCAATACTGCCTTGCCAGGATACTCAGAAAAAGTTAACTGTATTCCCTTATAGTCGCAAAAATAAGACTTATTCAGATGACTGTTACATTTCTAAAATGAGGTTCCTGTTCTCCTTTTGTCTGGTGATGGCTTCTCACAGTGAGAATGTGAGGCTGGACATCGTGTTATTGAGCAGCTCAGCGGTCTATACACTGTCTCTGGGTTTAACCTCGTTGACCTCAGTCTAACGTCTCCGTCACTAAAGGAGGAAGAGGACCCTGCTCCTCTTCCTCCATCAAACCTTCAGTTTCACTTCCTACATTCCTCACATGTCTCTCCGATTGTCCTCACGCCTCTCTGACTGCATCACATGGCGCTGGGGTTTGAAAGAGCAGAATAAAAGCTTTGTGCAGAAACCTCACAAAGACTTCTGAGTTCACACCACATATATAAATACACGCACGCACACACGTGGCTTTTTTTAAGACATGCTGCAGTTCATTAATCAGCCACGTCTTCACATTTGTGCTGCACATGTCGACGTTTCATGCAATCAAACAATCAATCCTGCAGCAGTAAATGAAGTGCATGCTGACCGTGTGTGTGTGTGTGTGTGTGTGTGTGTGTGTGTGTGTGTGTGTGTGTGTGTGATGTGTGTGTGTGTGTGGTGTGTGTGGTGTGTGTGTGTGGTGTGTGTGTGTGTGTGTGTGTGTGTGTGTGTGTGTGGGTGTGTGTGTGTGTGTGTGTGTGTGTGTGTGCAGGGGACACCATCTCCAGTGTGAACGAGGAGACGGTGGAGGGATTTCGGCACAAGGAGATCGTGCAGCTCATCAGAGCATGCGGAAACACACTCAGGTACACACTCACAAAAAAGCTGAAGCGATATGACTTTTAATAAAACAACTCAACCGTCTGATCCTGTAGGAAAACGTCTTGAAAGGCATTGAAGCAAAAACGGTTAAGTAAGGCTCTTCTGTTCTTAGTTTACCTTGAAATAAGGGCCATAATTGGTCTGTCTTGAAATGCAAATCCTTGGGAAGTAGGATGCCATACATCGTTCATTTCTGTGAAGCTGTCGTATCCCCTTTGAGTGTATGCTGACTGAAAGAAACTGTCACAAATGGACCAGTTTTAAGCCACATTTTAACCGTTTTCTGACTTTTTTTTAACCAGATGAAAGAGTTTAGTGATGGGACGTCTGGATCTGAACTTATCAGAGAAAGCTAACATTAGCCTTTAGCTCGTAGCCGCGCTGTCCACTGGAGAAACACTGATTTTTAACATGAAGCTGATTTATTCAGTGTGTTTCTACTCATCGAGTCATTCGTTTTAGAGGCAAGTTTTTAGGATAATTCAGCCTCTTCTAAAAGTTCTGTACATGTTGGGAAATCAGAAACGAGATGACAGTGTTAGCCTTTAGCTCGTAGCCCCTCTGGAGAAACACAGATTTTTAACATAAGACTGCTTTAATCAGCAGGTCTGTTTGATTTGAAGAGGATGCTACTTCTTACATTTGCCTCCAGTTAAATCTTCCTACGTCTGGATCTGAAGTTCTCAGAGAAACAAGCTGAGCTAACGTTAGCCGAACAGCGTGTAGGGAGAAATGCTGACTTTGAACGTCAATCTGCGAAATAACTTCCAACAATTGACCTTTTATTCCCGAATTTAAGTACATGTTATGTTCCACGGCTTATTTTGACCTCCAAAGCGGAGACTGAATGAACAAGTTGTAGAAACTTGGTTAAAGTTATGGACTTTCCCATCATGTAATGTCTGTTTCACACCGACTGCTCGTGTTTTGTGCTGTTGCGATTATCAAAGGGAAGAAGTGGCCTCTGGCTGTGAGAAATTCACATTTCATAGTTGAACTGCTGGGTTTCGCTCGGGAACAAGAAGACGTTATTTATAGAAGCGGCTGCAGGCGGGGTGAGCGGCAGGTCGGAGCGGCGGGAAACTTTCTGAAATATCAGAGCGTCTGACAAAGACTTTAAAAGTAGTTAAACTGGTTAGTAGAATTACAGGCTGCAAACAAACATCCCTGCCCTCTCATTGTGGAGAAGTATTCAACATTTAGGGTGCAAAATGTGTAATGAGCACCTTGCTGAGAAAAACATCCGCAGACAATTATTTTAAATATTTAGGATGGCCACCAGGAAGCAGTTTTTCACTCAGATTTTCTATAATTTGTATTTTAACTTTGATTTGCTGCCCCTCTTTCGAAACTTCTTTGTAGATAAGTTGACTTTATATATGTAAAGCTAATTTAAAGACGCATTTCTTCCTTTTCATGCAAACATTTTGGATGTTTGGGGGGATTTATTCTCGATCATGAGCCTTTTTTCCCCAGCGTCTCACTTGTTGACATGACAAAATGTTATAAAAATAAAATTGCCCTTGCCAGTTTCTCTTAAGTCCAAAGATATTCACTTTAGTATGATTTATAAAAGCCTTTAAACTCCAGATTGATAGGCATTTAAAGATGTTTTTTGGGGCGTGAAGAATGGATTTAATAACGGTTGCAGCACTATTTCTAAGCATTTCTGAGGATGCACACTGTCCGCTTAAACGTCTAAAAATAATCAAGAGATTTCGTTCTTTAATGTATTTTTTTGTGTTCATTTGATAGAGAACCCTTTCTAAAGCACCTCGACATGTCTGAGGGATTTGAGTTGAGTGCTCTTTCTCTCCGCTGCTCGTAAAAGATTAAAAGCAGAATTAGCGCCTGTAAAAAAAACGTGAAGTGAACCGCACGTTTTACAGACTCAAAAAAGTGTTAGTTGTTAAAGTGAGAACGAGTAATTCAAAGTGACGCGTCTGCAGTGGAAATTATTTATTTGTCCCGCTGTCGTAAACGTTTCACACCAGATTAACGCAGACAGCCTTTCATCACTTCATTCAATCCCTGTTTGTAGTTTTTACAAGTGCTTCCTGTTACGCACACATGCTGCTTGCACACGCATTAGAAAATGGATTCTCGTACAAAACAAAAAAAGGACAGGAAATATAAAGAAAACCCATAATTTGAACACAGATTCCGACGCCTCAATAGAAAAGCCTTTCATGACTTTATTACTCTTAGTTTTCTGCCGTTGTAGTTTTTATTAGTGGTTCCTGTCACAGAGGCGAAGTCCCGCCCTTCTGCTTCCGACTCATGGGACCTTATTTCTGAAAATGATGTATTGAAGTCAATGGAGAGAGAACGTATCTTTCGATCCCGTTTGAATTGTGCCACGAATTACACATATGATGTTTGTCAACTTAAAAAATAATTTCCAAGTGAAAAAAGTCAGTTTAGAACGATGAAAAATATGCAACTAGAAAGACTACAAATCCCAGAGTCCCATTTTGACTTGTAAAATTATCTTTTAAATTGACAACCATCATATGTGTAATTCGTGGCACTCTATATGTGCATGCTGCTTGTACATGCCTATACTAACATTACGTAGTTATTTTTGTACGAAATACGGGAACAACAAAAACATAAACGCATATTTTGCATACAGATTCCCACAAAGCCTTTCATGACTTCTGTATTCTCAGCTTTCTGCGCTTTAGGTCCTTCCTTTGACGTTTGCAAGCCGCTTGTGAATACAAAAGGGAAGAGGACACCTGACGACAGATCTCTACATATTGTGGATTCGTAGTAAAAGTGTCTGCATGTGCCCCCCCCCCCCCCCCCCCTCGTGAAAAGCCTTTAATCTGTGTTCCAACCCTTGTAGTTGGTGTTGGTGCTTCCTCCTGACTCGTGTTTCCTCTGGTTCACAGGCTGGAGACGGTTTACAGCGACTCCATCCGGAAAGCGGAGATGGAGGCTCGGCTGCAGTATCTGAAGGTGAGACTTCGAATGGAGAGAAAATGTCCATCTGGTTTCTCAAAGTCTAAGATAATGTCTGAAAACATTCACTTTGATGCGATCGTTAACAGAGAAATGCTGGTTTGGCACAACGAGGGTTCATGTTGTGATGAAGCGCACTGGCAGCTGAACGTGTCCATATTAAATGAGAGTTGGCATCTATTTGTAGCTGCTTTCATAGATCGAACCATCATGAAAGTGACTCGACGTGTCTGATGGATTTGACTTGAGCGCTGCTTCTAAAAGAGTAAAGCAGAGTTATCAGGAAAGTTTGTCAGCGTGTTGCATTCTGCATATAGAAACCCCCCCCCCATGAACACCTGTCTCCCCCCAGCTCCTCCTCAGCTCCACATGTCTCCCCTCAGCTCCTCCTCAGCTCCACCTGTCTCCCCCCAGCTCCTCTTGTCTCACCCTCAGCTCCTCTTATCTCCCCCCCAGCTCCTCCTGTCTCCCCCCAGCTCCTCCTCAGCTCCACCTGTCTCCCCCCAGCTCCACCTGTCTCCCCCCAGCTCCACCTGTCTCCCCCCAGCTCCTCCTGTCTCACCCTCAGCTCCTCTTATCTCCCCCCCAGCTCCACATGTCTCCCCCCAGCTCCTCCTCAGCTCCACCTGTCTCCCCCCAGCTCCGCTTGTCTCACCCTCAGCTCCTCTTATCTCCCCCCCAGCTCCTCCTGTCTCCCCCCAGCTCCTCCTCAGCTCCACCTGTCTCCCCCCAGCTCCACCTGTCTCCCCCCAGCTCCACCTGTCTCCCCCCAGCTCCTCCTGTCTCACCCTCAGCTCCTCTTATCTCCCCCCCAGCTCCACCTGTCTCCCCTCAGCTCCTCCTGTCTCCCCCCAGCTCCTCCTGTCTCACCCTCAGCTCCTCTTATCTCCCCCCCAGCTCCACCTGTCTCCCCCCAGCTCCTCCTGTCTCACCCTCAGCTCCTCTTATCTCCCCCCAGCTCCACCTGTCTCCCCCTCAGCTCCTCCTGTCTCCCCCTTAGCTCCTCCTGTCTCCCCCTCAGCTCCTCCTGTCTCCCCCTCAGCTCCTCCTGTCTCCCCCTCAGCTCCTCCTGTCTCCCCCCCCAGCTCCTCCTGTCTCCCCCTCAGCTCCTCCTGTCTCCCCCTCAGCTCCACCTGTTGATCAGCAGTCGGCTGTTTTTAAAAGATCTTCATGCACAGATTGCAGCAGCTGGTTCTCTCTAATCCCTACACACACACACACACACACACACACACACACACACACACACACACACACACACACACACACTAATCCAGTGTTCCACAGATTAACCTGCTGCTGCTCTCTCCACTATTGCAACATGTTCATTTCTCACTAAGTGTGACTTATCTGTGGACTCGCATGTTGGAGAGGGAGGGAGAGAGGGAGGGAGAGAGAGAGAGAGAGGGAGAGAGGGGGGGAGGAGAGGAGGAGAGGGAGGGGGAGTCACGAGAGAGTCTGCTGCAGTCACATTATTGCATGTTGGGATCGTGCAGTTAGTTTCTTGTTGACCACAGCTTAGCTTGTTGAATGCCGAGTTGGTATCGTTTGTTCTTTTAGTGTTTCGTCGCTTTGAAAAGTTGTAAACCAAATAATGACATCCTTCCCTTTTTACAGCATTGTTTCATTAGATTTACTCGGGCGTGATTTAGTCGCCATCATTCACAATATCCACGTCTTCCTTTTGCAGCAAACACTTCACGAGAAATGGGACGAGTATCGCTCTCTGATGGTTCAGGAGCAGAGGCTGGTGCATGGTGAGTAACACGTCACTCTCTTAAAATGTCCAATCGGGATGGAAATATAATTATAATAATACGAATATAAATAAATAAATTGAAAAGATAATACATTTACAACACAGGTAGTCCAAGTGCTTGAAAAGGCATGTCCATTACATTACATTTAGCTGACGCTTTTATCCAAAGCGACAATAAGTGCATTCGACCAACGAGATGCAAACTAGAAGAAAACAGAATCTTTAAATAAGAAGATGGATTCAGGTGGATTTCAACAATCCTGTGGGAGACAGGACCACAGCAACAGGATCATCCATGACTCCGGATCCCGGCGTATATAGACACCAAAAAGAAAGACATTTGGGGAAGCTGGGTTAATCGGAACATGAGAGTACACAGGTATAGACAGAGAGAAGGAAGAAGTAAGATGTCCCCCGACAAACTAAGCCTATATCAGCAAAACTAGGGGCTGAATCTAATCAGCCCTAACTATAAGCTTTATCAAAAAGGAAGGTCTTGAGCGCACTCTTAAAAACGAATAGGGTGTCTGCCGCCCGAACACAAACTGGAAGCTGATTCCACAAATGTGGAGCTTGATAAGAAAAGGCTCTGGCTCCCATTGTACTTTTAGAGACTCTAGGAACAACCAACAACCCTGCATTCTTGGAACGCAATGCCCTAGTAGGACAGTAGGGTATAATGAGTTATCTACTCTGATATTGGAAGAGTATTTTCTGAACAACAATAAAAAAAAAGCCTCTCCACTCCCCTCTCTCTTTAGGCATCGTCCTGAGCGACGCGGCGGTGTACGAGTCCCTGGAGTCGGCGGGGGTGTACGGCAGCGTGGGGACCCCGAGTCCTGCGGAGAACCGCTCGCTCCGCTGCAGCTCCGGCTCCACCAGCAGCGTCCAGAGCACCAACACCATAGAGGAGGAGCCGCTGTACAGCCGCCTGCAGAGGCCCGACGCCGCCGCCCCCCCCACGGACAGGAAGCTGAGGGTCCGCCCCGTCAGCGAGCTCTTCTCCAGCACCAAGACCAACCTCACCCGCAGCGCCAGCACCCGCAGCTACCTGAGGGGGGGGGGGCAACACGGCGGGGGAGAAGCAGGGAGGGTTCACCCAGAGGAAACCCAAGCAGAAGAGCTTCCGCAGGACACTCCTCAAGTTCATCCCGGGTCTGAACCGGCCTCTGGAAGAGGAGGAGAGCAAGCTGTGACCCCACTGGGGATCCTCCGACACCACGTGGTGCAGCAGGGAGGTGCTTCATGACTCAAGTCTGTCCTTCTGAGCCGCCTGACACTGAACCAACCAGAGACGACTGCAGCTGTACATACTTGTCACTTTCCAGAAGAATAAGGAGTTGCATTATGGGACATGTGTGCAGCAGGAAGAAGCCTCATAAAGAGTTGCATCATGGGACATGTGAGGATGGTGTTTAGGACTGAAGTCTGTCTCTGCCTCCCCTGACCCAAAGAGAGGAGACGCCAAAGACTGCAGCTGTATATAGCTTTTTGTTCTTTAAGTTATTTAATTTATTGTCTTCGTCATGTACAGATTTTTTTTACTGCATGCCCCGTCTTTTATTGTGAGCAGATTCTACGTTTTTCTAAGATTTGAAATCGTCTTTAGATTCAGTCATCGTTTCCTGAAAATAAAAATATGTGTCATTTCCATTTTGTGCAGGAGAAGCTGTTTTTGTTGCCACAGCAGTTAGTGGGAACCGGCGCTGCCAAACTCTCAATGTGTTTGTGATTTCCTCCGACGTGTGATTCCTCTTCTTCTTTTAAATATAGCAGCTGTTCACACGCGAGTTCTGGAGGTTAGCGTCTGGTCTCGGCTGCTCGGAGGCTCTTTGTGGTGGAGGTGTGCAGAAAGGAGCCCGTTGTATCGGCTCTGACGCGCAGTATTGTTGCAGCGCAGAGAGGAATGTGCCGAGAAAGGCTTGACCCGAAATACCAAACACAACTGTGTGTGTGTGTGTGTGTGTGTGTGTAGTGTGTGTGTGTGTGTGTGTGTGTGTGTGTGTGTGTGTGTGTGTGTGTGTGTGTGTGTGTGTGTGTGTGTGTGTGTGTGTGTGTGTGTGTGTGTGTGTGTGTGTGTGTGTGTGTGTGTGTGTGTGTGTGTGTGTGTGGTGTGTGGTGTGTGTGTGTGTGCATGAGGTCATGTGGTCACTTTCTCCTCGTTGAGCCCTTTTGTTGCAGATGATGGTGAGCGATGGTATGCAGCCATGTGTCCGAGCCCCCAACTGCTACTGGAGGGGGGGGGGGGCATTGTTATGCAAGCATGCCGGTGCTTTGGGTTCAGAGCGAGTAACGAGGGGTGGTTATTCAGGAGGGTACACTAAAGACGGAGTGAGTGAAGGGGCCGTTGAGCAGAGACAGAGGGCCCAAACACTGAGATCTGCAGTTAAAGGAAGTATTCAGGCGCTTTACACGAGTTAAAGTACTCGTACTACACTGTCTGTATTGAAGTTAAATGTGTTAAACTTAGAAGAACCCAATGCAAACATACATTAAAAACACTCCAAAGAAAGTCTGTAAACTCATTTTGCTGCTATTAAAATCAGCCCCTTTTACTTCAATTGATTAGAAATGTTCTCAGTTTGATCTCAAGGTAAACATTATTAGTGTTATGGACGGCAAATAAGAGATTCGTTTTGTTTTTTAAGATTAAGGAGAATTAATCCGCCCTGAACGTGCCGGTGCTTTGGGTTCAGAGCGAGTAACGAGGGGTGGTTATTCAGCAGGGTACACTAAAGACGGCGTGAGTGAAGGGGCCGTTGAGCAGAGACAGAGGGCCCAAACACTGAGATCTGCAGTCAACCCGGAGGGCGGGAGCAGCGTTAAAGGAAGTATTCAGGAGCTTTACATGAGTTAAAGTACTAAAACCACAATGTTAGAATACTCTGTTCCAAGACAAGGTCCTGCATTGAAAAGGTTTAATCAGGAAAATTATCTTGAACCTAAAAATACCCAATGCAGAAAGGAACAAGTCAATGAAGCAAAAACATCCAGCTACTTCAATTGAACTATTCTCAGTTTCTGACGTGAGGAAAACAAAGTTGTCTCAAGGTAAACATTAGTGTGAGGCACGGCATCAGAAAACAAAGTCAGATTTCTTCGGTGTTTTTAAGCACAAAGAGAATTCAACTACACAAAACAATTTGATATTGGGTCAAGAGTTTGAATTTAATGTCTAAAAACATACGAGTTTTTCTTGACATTTTGATTATGTAGTCGACATTTTGACTTCCTCAGTGTTGTGCAACATGTGTGCAAGTACAAGATCTGAGTACTTCTACTGTTACTCAAGTACAAGATCTGAGTACTTCTACTGTTACTCAAGTACAATATCTGAGTACTTGTACTCAAGTACAAGACCTGAGTACTTCTACTTTTACACAAGTACAAGACCTGAGTACTTCTACTTTTACTCAAGTACAAGATCTGAGTACTTCTACTTTTACTCAAGTACAAGATCTGAATACTTCTACTTTTACTCAAGTACAAGACCTGAGTACTTCTACTTTTACTCAAGTACAATACCTGAGTACTTCTACTTTTACTCAAGTACTAGATCTGAGTACTTCTACTGTTACTCAAGTACAAGATCTGAGTACTTTTACTCAAGTACAACATCTGAGTACTTCTTCTTTTACTCAAGTACAAGATCTGAGTACTTCTACTTTTACTCAAGAACAAGATCTGAGTACTTCTACTTTTACTCAAGTACAACAGTACTTCTACTTTTACTCAAGTACAACAGTACTTCTACTTTTACTCAAGTACAACAGTACTTCTACTCTGTAGAGAGAAAATGGATCCTTTGTGAAGCTTCTCACAACAAAAACAATGGATAATCTTCAGTTAACCAACGGGTCATGATTTTAGAAAGAAGAGACATTGTTGAGTTATATATGTTTTCCATCTTGTTCCATTATATTAGAGAGAAGGCCAATATCTACAACTTTGGACAAACTATTTAATCATTTTTTGCTTTTGGAGTGAGCTCTTAATAATCTGCAAACAATTCTTTCAATCACACATTTAGATCTCTTGTTGTACAGCTGGTCCCCTAAGTCAGTGATTCTCAAATGGGGGTACGCGGACCCCTGGGGGTACGTTGGGGTACTGCAGGGGGTACGTGAGATAAAACATTTAAAAAAAAAAGTTAATTAAAAAAATAATTTTAGTAAAATAAGTTAAATGGAAAACACAATTGTATATAAAACATTCCTAGAACCACCAAGGGGGTCCTCATATAAACATGTCAAATGTGTGTATTGTATTTTATAGTTTTTCACAATAACATATTACTTAAATTTATAAAACAATATATCCTTAGTTTGTTGTAATGCATACCACGAAGGAGTTAATACATCACACACTGAGGGAACATCACTATATTGTAATTATTTATATAGGCTTTTTTGATAAAAAATGTTCGGGGTCGGTCAGGGGGTACTTGGCTGAGAAAATGTGTCAAAGGGGAACATTACTGAAAAAAATGTGGGAAGCACTGCTCTACGTGAGTGATGTAAAAGGAGAAGCTGTAAGAGGAAGCAGTCGAGCTTCTCTGGTGTTTCAGATATTTCTCAAACGTGCGTCACCGTTTCTGTCGCCCGTTACTGCCTCTGGTCAAATCAATGGATCGGTGCAGACTGTTGGTTACAAATAAGGAAGTGGTTTTGTATTTGCACTCAATAGTGAAGACACGAGACAAAAACCCACACATTATAAGAGCATGTTTGAGGCGGAAATATCGAAATACTCATGTCTGACAGAAGAGTGAAGGCTCAGGATGTGGGTGACAGATGTGCCGGAAATCCACCATAAAGATAAGAGAATACAACGGTTAATAAAAGACCATTTTCCGTCAGTATCTCAATGTCTGTCACTGTGTGTGTTTGACAAACAAGTAACGAGCAGTCAAATGGAAACCTGCACACCTGCCTCAAAAGAAGACAGGTGTGGATTTAAGATGCAGTCAGGGTCGTAAATGACAATAAAAAGTATTCTTTACTTGTAAAAATATCCATAAAAGAGTGAGTTTTGCCTCGTGAGACTTGACTTAAGCAACAGTATCTTTCATAAAAGCATATTAGAAGTTTATCTGCATCTTAAATCAATATAAACTGCCTTTTGGTTTCCCAGCGGCAGCAGTGAGCTAATGCAATACAGGTTTTATTGTCTCTTTGTGGATTTAACAGCCTCTTTCCTGAAGCTACTGATCATAATATCCACCCGGCAGCTTGTTAATGAACAGCTCAGTTATACAGTTAGCCTCTGAGCTGTTTATTCTATCCCCCCACCCTCCTCCCCCAAATACAGTCCATTAAACAGTTTTCCAGTAGCTGCAGGATCCAAAAACACATTCAAACACACCGTAAGATCCTGAAGATAAGATATTTTTGAATATATTGGCATAATTTCTACATGTATATTTTCTATTTCATTTTATTTCTATTCTTATTTGTAGTTTTGTTTTATTGTAAAATGCCTTGTCTTTTATGCTGCTGCAACAAAACAATGTCCCAAATTGGGATCAATAAAGTACCATCTTATCTTATCCATTCAAATGTAAAAATAGCAGGTTATATGAGAAGGAATATCTTAAAGGCTTTTTATTTTGAGGATTAGGGTCTCACATGAACAGTAGTTTATGTAATTCCACATGTCTGATTGATTGAAAAGTTTATTAACAGCTTGTATATTGGGTACAGTACAGTACAGCTCAAAACATACAATTGTTAAGGGGATGCAGACCAGAGAAAGACTTTCGTCTTGTTTACATCAGGGTCCCCCATTTCCAATTCATCATGTCATTTAAGACATATAAGACATATTTGACATACAGATGGCTTATTTACAATTTACATACAGGTGGTTTTTTTACATACAGATGGCTAATTTACAATTTACATTTTAGATCTCGTTCTAATACATCCTAACCGGACATAAAGTAAGTCACTGCAGGAATATGAAGCTGCAACAAACTGTCTTTCTCTTTATGTGGTTATCCAGTTTCAAAGTGGGTCCTTAAATGACTTCTCCACCCTACTACGACACACTTTAATTTGTATTTCCTGTCAAAGCGAGCGACAGGTGTGAATGTGTGTAGTCAAAAATGCTTTTATTTCCCTTTGCAGCTCATATGTCAGGCGTGACCATTTAGCTTTGATGCTAACACAGGAAGCACAACAGCTGGCTGATCCCAGTGTACATTTAAGGTTAATTCAATGAATGGCTCAGTTTTAACACACATTTTTGGATGGTCTCGTCTACTTAAACATCAGACCTGGAAAAAACCCTGGACAATTTGAATCTAATCATTTGCAGGTTATTTTCTTTGGATTCGAAGTATCTGAGATGTGTTTTCTCCACATGTGAAACTTGAACGCAGTGGGCGTACAGATGGTGTTTGATTTCAGTTATTAGACGACTTCCTCTTTTTCTTGCCTGTTTTATGATGTTGGAGAAGTCAGATAAGGAACCACCTGCCCTCTCTGATACACGCAGAAAAAACACTACTGAAAATGTTTGAACTACTTTTTCAGTAATGAATCTATAAGCGTTTTCATTTCCTTTAATTCATTTTTATATATTTCATTTAACCAATTACTATTAGCCTGGTGCTCTCTGTCTGCCAATTCCATTGTTAGCAATAGCTAATT